AATCCCACCACTAAACCATGTGCACACATCTCTTAGATACCCCCAGGCATGGGGACTCCACCACCTCCCTGAGCAGCCCATTTCAATGCCTAATCACCCCTTCCATGAAGGAATTCATCCTAACATCCAACCTAAACCTCCCCGCTGAGCTTACCCACCAGCACAAAGCTTACGGGCAGCTTCACCACAGGCATGCAGAGCTTTGCTCAGGAGATGGTGATGCTCTGTAGTCCCAGGCTCCTTCGCAACCCATGATCTCCAGCAATGAAAAGAGGATGCAAAGACTCTCATCGCTTCAAAAATAATTAATGGAGGGGCTGAGCAGCCACACAGCCATGGTCAGGGCTCCTCTGAGCTGCTGCACAGAGGCCTTGTGCTGCTTGAAAACACTGCACTTCTGGCAACGCAGCCAGCTGTTCTGCTAATCTTGAAAAGCTAAGTTTTGTTCATTTCCAACACATTTGTTTCAAATTAAAACCACAGCTGAAGCCTCAAGGAGTTCTCTGGAAATATCCCATTGCTCCTCCGTCCACATGCCTGATTTCCATCACATCCTCCCATTTCAGAAGATTTATAAAATTGAAGCCGTTGCTTCAAGTTCTCCTGATCTCCGGCTCCTAAAGACACTCCAGGTGGATTCAGGGAATCTTCCAGATTGGAGAAGCTCAGGTCCTGTGAAGCCAATGGAATCAGAAGCCCACGACCCCGATGGACGCCTCTGGGTCCCTGGGGTTAAAGTCCCTTCTTCAGACACAAGCAGGCCTTCCTAAATATTCAGCTTTTCCAGAAGGTTCAGCCTCTCACCTGGCCCAAACACAAAACACCAGCAGCCTCGCATTCGATCCCTTTCCCCGCACACCTCAAACGCAGCGTTCCCTTTTCAACCTGTCTTTCTCTGGACTCCTATTTTTCCACTGGAAGATGCAATTTGCACCCATCCAGCTCCTCCACGGTGAATGACCGACCGTCTTTCAAGCCAAAAGCAATTATCCCCAAATTAACAGGACTCTCAGGGGGATGGCAAGAAGTCAGTGCAGCCCCCCCCCCCCCCCAGCCAGGCCTTGCACGGGGTTCGAGTCAAAGCCTTGCAGCTGACTGTAGAACAAAAAAAGAGATGAAAAAACAAAAGAAAGCCTCTGTAAAACATCAGTCCCTGAGGGAAGCAGATGGCTCTGCACCAGCAGGAAGGGGCAGACCCAATATGTGTTCCTAGCAGAGGGGCATGGCCTGTGGGTAAAGGCCCAAGTGCTGAAGAGACACAGTGGGGCTCCAACTGGATGTTCCTCACAGGCAGAGGAAAATTAATCAAAATAGAGCTTGGGCACAGAAACCAAAACCTCAAAGCAAAGGGACTGGGATCTGAGTAACCAAAACCTGGGTGTCTGGGATGGTGGCGGTGTGGCTGAGAGAAGAGCAGGACTCCATATTCTGGACAATAATCCTATACTGGGTGACAAAGCCCCCGCTCACACGAGAGGAAATGGCCTAAAAACAAGGATTTCCACAGCCTCTTGCCTGTTCCCAGCAACCACTTTACCTTGCTGCAACATAAATTACAGCTTAATCAGCTCTGAATGCTGGCGATGCTGCCTGGATGCCTCCCCAGATATTAAATGCCTCTCTCGCTGCGCTAACAAGCACATACCTGAGGCCTTCCGAGCCCTTAATTACTCAGCGCCGTTATTTCCAAATCAAAATATATAAGTAAATCAATTAAAAACCTTAATACTTTGGTGCTTTCCCCCACCCCCTTCCCCACTTTGCAAAGGCCTTGAAAGGAATCCACCTGATTACTAAGGAATACGAGCAAATTACAACTGTTATCCAAAACCACTCTTCTGGATGGACAAAGCTTGCTGCTGTCTCCTACCAAAGGGATGTGGGGATGTCAGAGGCAATCCCCAAAAGCAGCAGCCCTAAATCCAGTTCTTCCCCTTGAGGCTGTGGTCTAGATCAGCAGCCTCAGATCCCCATAGCCATAAACCACCAAGATCAGAAAAGCCCTTCGAGATCACCAAATCCAACTATGAACCAGTCCTCCTGAGTCCCATCACTCAACAACACCTCCCAGCACCACGTTCACATACCACAAATTCCTCCAGGGATGGGGACTCCACTCCCCCAGTCAGTCCATCCCAATGTTTGACTACCCTCTCCATGCAGAACTTCTCCCAGTACCCAATCAAAGCCTCTCTCCTGGTCCCCTTACGAACCACCATCTCCTCTGACCCAGAGCAACTTGTTTCAAACAGATCACAGTCATGGCAATTAGGTCACACCAGGCTGCAGGATTAGTGAGCAAAAGCACAGTTATTTAGAAACATCGAGATTAATTACCAACGAGCCTTAATAGAGCCGAGCTAATTTACTAATTTCGACCAAGTAACTGATCAGTTAAAAGATTAAAATCAATGATCATAGACAACAGCTTTTTTTTTTGCTTTTTTTTTTTTTTAATGGGTTGTTTTCTCACAGCAACTCTCAGTTGCACAAAAGGAGACCAACAATCTCCGTTAACCAAATATTATTGTAATTAAATATTCAACAGGGAGGCTCTTCAATTATTCATAGGAGGGACGATGCTCGCTGTCAGCAGGCTGGCGCTTTCCCTCTGGACCTGGCCCAGGGATGCTCGGTGGTACGGCTCTGTGACTGCTGCCCATGCAGCACCCAGGAGCTGGATACTCAAAGGGAGAGCAGGAACCCATCTACTACCAGGCACCGGTGGTGAGAAGGGGGGCGGGTGGCCAGGTTCTGTGCAGCGTTCTGGGGCGGTGCTATTCCCTCAGCAGACAACCAGGAGGGCAATTACATAGGAAATTACAAATGAGCTTTTTCAGCAAAGAGTACGGGGATACTTCAATTGGCTACAGGGAAACTGCAGTATCGTTCAGGCCGTTCATCAAAGCTCTGCGAGTCTCAACGTCCAGCGAAATGAAACAGTAATAAATATTAAGCAGAACGAGTTAATCTCCGTTGAATACATTTTAATACAAAGCACGGGGTCTTTGGCTCTTACAGACACACCATCTCATTTTTCTCACCATTTCTCACTACGCGGACTTGCTGGAAGATACACGGTGACAAGAGATGCCCCAGCAGCAAGCCGTGGCTGGGAGCCACCAGCTCTCATAGCACAAAAGACCCACAGCAGCCCCACCACACCGACTCTGGGTTTCCTGCAGCCCAGGACATGCTGCTCCACACCACTGCTAGCGAACACAACTCACCCTGCACGAGCATTCATGCGTGCCAAGCTCGAGGGCTCGAGCGTTTGCAGAAAGCGAGCAAGGTCAAATGGAAATGCGCTTTCAGATCCTAATGAATATTTGGGGGAAAGCACTCCCCCGCCCCCTCCCAGCTATTTACTCAGCTCTGCGATTAAGCGACTGCCGTGCTGCTGTGTTCAGAAGAAGCAGAGTGCTGCAGCATCCTCCAGAGGCATCCCGTGAGCCTGGGCTCCTGCCTTCAGCCAGGCAGCAACTGAGGAGAGAACGAAACAGAAGCGCAGCCTGCGCCCCGTGCCTGCCTTCCAACAGCTCCTCCAGGGCTCCTCTCTGCGTTAGCTGCTCCAAGAGCATCTCCAGCAGCCCAGAAATATCGGCGATGGCAGCCTGTTCACAAGCTTTCCCTCTCCAGCAGTGCTCTTCTGATCTCTCCATCGCTGCTGGCGCTTGTTTTCTTCTCTCACAGGCCACCAGAGCCTCGTAAGTTATTCAACTTTCAGCAGGCTGCGCTGCGTTCGGGGAAATTGAAATTCAAAGCCTTGATTAAGGCAGGGGAAAAAAAAAATATATAAATGAAGACCTTCACCTTAAGGAGGAGAAACAAGATGGAATTCAGCTGCAGGTGTGGTGCCAGTGCGATGGGTTTGCTGCGGGAAGCAGCAGAGGACCGCCCAGGGACGCCGAAACTTCATCCTCCCCTCGCCTACGTCCCCAAGCCTCGAAGCACGCGGGAAACAGGAAGGCGACCGAGACAAGGAATAATGAGTCAGTGATACCAGCAATTAGTCAAAAAAAGCAGCGCAGGCATCTGCGGGCGAGGGCCCGTTCCCATGACTTAACAAAACGCTCTCCCTTCAGGCTGGTGGATCTGAGTACGCTCCTCGTGCCAGCGCCCAGGTTCTTCCTTTCCACTGGGTTTTCTTTTCCAGATTGTGCAAATTAAAAAGCAGAAGAAGTAAAAAAGAAAAGGGATGGCTCTGGGTAGCGCAGAAATCCAGGACTTGCAACATCTCTGGAGATACGTCCCTGGTTCAGCCCCGGGCACAGCAGCAGGAACAGCCCTGCGGGGGAGCGCTCGCCCCACGCAGCACCGGGCAGAAGCGGTGGAAACCGAAGGACGCGGGCAGCAAAGGCGCGCCCCGAGCCAAAGAACGGGAGAGGTAACCGGGGGCTGCGGGAACGGCTCTGGGGCATCACCAACCCGCTGCCAGCGGAGCTACGCCAGCCGCCGACTCGCCAGGGACGGGATGGGTAGGCGAAGCAGCAGCCGCACACAGGGCTCTCTCCGAGCCGCGGACACCTCACAGCACTCCCCGTATCCGAGATGCACGCAGCTCGTCCATCGCTGCCGTCGCCTTGCGCTGAGCGCGGTCACCCCGGCTCCGGACGGCACGCGAACCGCGGGGCGCGCTGCTCCAAGCCGCAGCGATACCAACCGAGAGCATCGCCAGCGGGTCGCGGAGGAGACACGGCACAGCGCGACGCTCTCCGGGCCGACGTGCAACGCTCCGGCAAGGGCCGACGTTCGCTGCCCGACTAACGCGGAGCTGGGGATGCGGGAGGCGCGGTGCGAACCCGCGGTGTTCAACAGGTGGGGCGGGGATCGGCACCGCATCGCGGCAGCCCCGCGGCCGCTCCTCCTCCCCGAACCGCGACGCACCGGCGCGGCACGGAGCCCCTCCGCGGGACCCGCGGTTCCGAGGGAATCTCCCGGCGGAACCGCCCCCATCCCGAAGCCGCCTCCCGCCCTCGGCCGCTCGGCCCCCGCCTCACCTTCCACGGCGGCCGCGGCGGCGGCCAGGCAGAGTAGCACCACCAGATCCGCAGCCATCGCCGCCCCGGGCCGGCGGCCCCCGCCGCGCAGCCTCGGCCTCCCCGGGCACCGCGCGCCGCTCCGCAGGCGTCAGCCGCCGCCGGCGGGAGGGCATGGGCGGCGGGAGGCAGCCGGGCCGGGCCGGGCCGCGCCGAGCGGAGCCGCGGGACCGCGCCGCCCGCCCGGGTCACATCGCCGCCGCGAGTGTGGAGCGCCGCCACGCCGCCGCCCGCCCCCGCCGCCGCCCGTCACGCCCCCGCCGCCCGTCCGCCAATCGCAGCGCCCCGCCCGCCCCGCCGCGCCACGCCCCGCGTCACCGTGCGAAGGGCGACGGCGCCCCCCGGCGGTCGGAGGGGGAGATCCGACGGGGCGGGCGGGGACGGGGCTGCGCCCGCAGAGTGGAGTAAATCGGTGAGGCCGGGCCTGGGGGAGCCGAGCCCGGCACCGTGGGCGGGCGACTGCGGGCACGGAGCGCGCCCCGAAGCCCCTCTGCTGCAGCGGGCTGTCGGTGGGGAGCCCCTGCCCTGGGAGGCACCGGGAGGAGGGGGCTTGAAACGCACGTCGAGGGAAATCCATTCATCCTGAAACAAAATGCCATTTCTCTTCGTGTTCTGCAAAGGGGACGTGGCCACACGTGGACGTTTTGGGGTAGCGTCAGCACGAAGCTGTCCCCCGAAGCCGCCCACAGCTTCGCAGAGGCCACTTTCCCTCGGACCCCTCTCCCACAGGAGGTTTCATTCTATTCTGTAATGGGTCCCGGCCATCACCTCCATCAGCAGTCCCTGACAGCACTGCAAACAGGCAGGGGACGTCACCCCTCCCAATGAGGGGCCCTCTGGTGCCAGTTGAGCCTCTGGACTTTTTTTCTTGCCTGAGTGGAGGAAGGAAAGCAGGGAAAGCTGGGAAGGGGAAATGCTCACAGCAGCTCTTTGACCAAAATCACAGCTCTTTGATCAAAACCAGAGTTTGCAACGACAGCTTTAAACAGTTACCTCCATTCTCTTTTTTTTTTAAAAAAAAAGAAAAATACAAGAAGGAAACCAAATTGCTTCCGTTTACAGCTGCTGGGGTTTGGTTACAGAAAGCAAACAATAGGAATTCTGGCTCCAGATAAGAAGAAAACTGAGCTTGCTCTGATCTTTCAGCCAAAACTCTGACTTTCAGGGGTAATTCTGGCAGCGAGCTCAGGCTGCTGAGCACAAACATGACCATCCCACTGGGGCTGTTTCACTGTGGGTGCTCAATCGGCACCTGCTGCCATGCTTCTCTGGTCAAGAAAGGGGACACAGGGTAGCACAACACCCAGCAGCTCGTTTCCCTGCTTCCCAAGGACACGGGATGCCCACGCTGAGGTTTTCCCCTGCCAGCCTCTGGAGGTCAGCAACCAGCAGTGCTGAGCTCTGCATGGGACAGTCCCACTTCTGTAGTGCAGTGCACTCCGCCTCCAAAGGCATTTGTCATCGTCTGAAGGACACAGCAAACCTTCTGCACCTTAATCATCGCTGCATTTACAGAGGCTTCAAATAGCTGGTAATGTAAAATTTAAAAAAAAAAAAAAAAAAAATCTTGGCGAATTTATGAGGTAGTATCTGACATTGTCCTGCATAAATCTCAGGGTTCTGGGTAAATACAGAGCTTTCCAGGAAGAGCGGGGCATCAGCAAGCACGCAGGCAGGGAAGCAGTGGTCTGCCTGTGTGGGAGTCAGCAGAGCTGAGACTGCATCCAGACCCTGCAGAAGCCCCCAGCAGAAGCTGCTCAAGGCAGGCAGTGGGAACATCCAAGAGAGGGAAATTCTAGCAGAAGGGAGAAGAATAGAAGAGCCGTGGCAGAGGCAGACAGGTAGGGTTGCTGTCTTTGCATGAGCTTGTGGTTGGTAGCTCACCATGGGCACAGGCCCCATAATGGCCGTGTGGTTGGTGTCCCACCATAGAATCACAGAATGGCCAGGGTTGCAAGGGACCTCAAGGATCATGAGGCTCCAACTCCCCTGCTTCATGCAGGGCTGCCAACCTCCCCATTTAATACCAGACCAGGCTGCCCAGGGTCCCACCAATCTGGCCTTGAACACTTTGAACTCTAAGGATGGGCAGGGCATCCACAACCTCTCTGGGCAGCTGTTCCAGCACCTCACCACTTTCTCTGTAAAGAACTTTTGCCCTGACATCCAACCTGTCTCCCCTGCCTCAACTTACAACCATTTCCCTTTGTCCTGCAGTTATCTACCCTTTCGAAGAGTTGATTCCCCTCCTGTTTGTAGGCTCCCTTTAGGTACTGAAAGGTTACAATGAGGTCACACCAAAGCCTTCTTTTCTCCATGCTGAACAAGCCCAGCTCCCTCAGCCTGTCTTCATAAAGGACGTACTGCAGCCCTTTGTGGCTCTCCTCTGGACCCTCTCCAACAGCTCCCTGTCTTTTCTGTACTGGGGGCTCCATGGTGGGCGTGGGGTTGGCATCCTACTGTAGGCTTGTGGTTTGGGCGCATGGTTGCACGGCCAGTGGCCCATCATGGGCTCAGGGTTGGTATCCCACCACAGGCACGTGGTTGGCACCCCACCACCAGTGTGTTGGCGCTTACCGTGTGGTTACCATCAGTCCTCATCTTCACTGCCTTTTGCAAAACTCACAGTGCAGGGAGAGAGTTTGGGCAGAAGCACGAAGGCAGCTCTGCTCCCCTCCTCCTGGAACTTCCTCCTGGAGCAGCCTTCTCAAGTGGGCAGCACCTGCTGTGGATCCTTGACTTCTGCACTTCCCCACACTGTAACCACACAGTAAGTGCCAGGAAGCTCACGGTGGAACACCAACCACGTGCCCATTGTGGGATACTAACCACGTGCCTATGTCAACTCCATGGCTATGGTGGGATGCCAACCCCGTGCCCATGGTGAGGAGGCGACCCCATGCCATGGTGGGACACAAACCACGTTGGGATGCTGGCACTGGTTGCCCTCCTGCCCCAGTTTACTCCTTACTTGAAGTACCAAGGCAAATTGAACTTGGCATCCAAGGGGAGGAGCTCCTACAAAGGCACACTTCTCTACAAAGGGCTCTGTAGCAGACACCCTGAGCTCTGATACACAGATCTTTCCAGGCTGTGCAGCATTTGGGCACACCAACACAGTACTGAGTGCGTGCACCTCTGATCTGTTTGCCTTAAAGCACGTGTACTTTTGCAGCAGCACCTTGTTTGCATCCCTGATGAGGCCATGTACCACACAGGCAACCAGCCCTCCAGCACACACAGCTCTGAGTCCTGTGCTCCCAATAGAGATGACAAATGCCATTAAATCCTTACACAGGGCAGGGAGAGGAGAGCAGCAGCGGGAGACCTCACCCCAGCAATTCCCACCTAGTAATTTTAGAAGCTGTGGGTTAATTTTAGCCAGGCTGGCTGAAGGATGTCTCCTGGGGCTTCTGCTCCTGCACCTTTCTAGGAAGAAAAGGTGGCAGGGTCATGAGCAGCCCAGCTCATGATCCCCACAGGGATGATTCTGGGGGGGCTCTGCTGCCCCACCGCCCCCATTTCTATCCAGTCCCTATCAACACCCAGTCAGCTGGCTGGGCATTCTGCTCCCCGTCTCAGCTTCCAGAGGAACATGCGGCTGCTTCTTGCTGGAACACACAGCGCATCCTTTCAGCAAAGAAAAAATAAAAATATTTCTGCTGGCACAGCAAAATGGCCAAACCCCAGCCGGGTGCCTTCAGTGCATTTCTGACTCGTATTGCAAAATCTACTGTTATGCACATCCATACTTTTGCCTCCAGAATTGCCAACATTACTACTTCTGAGTCCAGAACGGGCAGATATCTACTGGAAAGAGGCTGCATCTCACAGCCCCACCTGCCTGGTCCAGCTCTGATTTAGGATCCTGTGCTCTGCAGTGACGTTGGGGTGAATAGAAGAGCTCTCAGATGGATTTCTCTGCTGGCTCTCCCCTCCACAGTCCATACAGATCTCTGTATGACAGGATAAACATTCACTTACAGCTTTATTTACTGAGAATGAGCAATTAAACCAACCCAGATTGATTTATGGCCAGCACAGATAAGTCCTCCTAACACAAGCCAGCTCCAGCTTAACGTTTGGACAGAGTATTTTTTGCTCAGTTTGCATTTTTTTTAAGTCTCAGGCTCAAATTTAACTTCCCTATAGAAGAGCTTTGGGCTCCTGAAGGTATGTAAGCATGGCCACATCTGTACACAACATTGCTGGGACAGGGGGATCCACCGAGTGCATGGGGAAAACATGGAAGAAGATGTAAAACGTGGGCAAGACATGGGAAAAACTTGGGAACACATGCAGAAGACATGGAGAAAACACAGGGAGGACATGGCTTCTCCCTCCAGCTACCCAGCACCTCCTTGGGAAGGAAAAGACACACTTTCCCTCCTTTCTCTACCCCTTACCAGCGAGTCCTGAGTTTTCCACATTATGGAATTCTCAGAGGGTGGTGAGGCCCTGGCCCTGTTGCCCAGAGAAGTGTGGGTGCCCCATCCCTGGAGGTGCTCAGGGCCAGGCTGGATGGAGCCCTGGGCAGCCAGAGCATGTGGGGGGCAGCCAGCCCACGGCAGGGGTTGGGACTGGGGGAGCTTTAAGTTTCCTTCCAACCTAAGCCATCCTGAAATTCTGTGAATTCATTTCTGGGGACCAACCAGGGCAGGGGGAGCCTGACAAATCTCTAGGTTTACCCCCAGGCCTCTGAGCTGGCATAAGGCCAGTTTATATTTCTTCTGCGGGCAAGAGCCTGTGCTATTTAAATTTTCTTTAAAGAAAACACGACCAACAGTATCCTGGTTGGCTTCGAACCAAGCCTCTCAGATAGCCCAGGTGTATTTAAAGCCAGCCACAGCCCAGATATATATGGCTGTCCCATCCCTGTGTGCAGTAGCTGCCCCCACCCTGCAGCACTGCTGTCCCCTGTCCTTCCCATCCTGCACACTCTAGTATTTCCCATCGCACACGTCAGCAGTGCTTGCAGGAACAGAAAGCCCATCACAATCTCTATGCGCGTTGGCACCACACCTGGCCAGGTGATCTGACTTCCCTTGAAGCTGTAGCAAACGGCTCTTTC